TTTGGAACCCCCCCCCCAAAAAAAAATAATAATAATTTTAGACTCGTTTAAAGCAAGAAATTAATCCATAGGGCCTATATTCAGACAAGTTAGAGGTTATTTTATTTTCTCTGTTTTCATGACTTTTTSGTGCATGCATTTTTTAAAACAAGATTTTATTGTAAAACAATACGATGGACTGATGGTACTGCATAAATAAACTTTACTCATCTAAACATAAAAGTAAAGCCTTAATCACAAATTTATTTTTGGGGGATTTTTTAAAAACATATTGACATGTCTGTTTTTGTTTTATTCACTAAGTATAAGTTTTTAGCATTACCTCTCAAACATACTGTTTGATATTTTTTTTGTTTCCAGTTTTCCTTATAGCTCTGAAACATATGCATATTTTTTTTTTTTTTACTGCAGAGGTTTATCTTCTTGATGCACAACAGCCCAAGGTTTAGGTAGGCCTACCCTGCAGTGAAACTGTAGCACACACATTTCTGCAGCAGTGATATAATTCTAAGAAAAATGAACAAAGATTGTCCATACAGGTGGTGGTGGTGGGTGACAGGAAGTCTCCACAAGCATCTGCGTGAGTGGAGTGAGGGTGAGAACAAATGGAGGGAGGAGGAGGACTCAGAGAGGGGGAGGGAGCAGGAGCAGACGCGGCCTCAGCGGTGGGAGGACCATCCCAGAACCTGCAGCGGCAGCTTGGACTGGAGGAAGCGAACTGGGAGCTGGAGCACAAGTTGGACAAACTCTGCTCGGTTATTCTACTTTCATCACCGGCATAGGCACAAAATAAATAAACAAATAAAAGGGTGCGAGTGAAAGGGTTTAGCTGGGTTCAGAAAGTGAGCCCAGTGAAGCGCCTCTGATCACATTCCAGCAGAGCCGGGGAAATGAGCCTCTCAGCCCAGCACTGAGCCTGCCTGACGGGCTGAAGGTTCTCTGGACTTTTCTCCTTCAGCAGCTTTGACTCAACGAATCAAAAGGGTTGAAATAAAATATAACCAGGAAAGAAAAGGGGGACCTGCTTAAGGTAAGTCAGATTAAATGAACTTCACAGAGAATCATTGGCAGAAGAGAGGGGGGAGATTTAAAATCAGTCGTTTTCACTGTGGAGGAAATTTAAACATTTCTTCCTCCCTTTAGTCATATTTAATAGAGACTGTCTGTTCAAAAGACCAAAACAGGTCACTGCTTTCTGTATTTACTTTGGCCCAAACCAGAGATATGTGTGTGTGGGTGTGTTTTCTGAGGACACAGAAGTCATTCAAACTAAGCAAGAAGTGATCTTGATGTGTGTGTTTTATGTGAGTTTTCTACCAGTGAAAGAGTGTCACTGAGAACACTTGGACCTAACTACATGCAGTTTCACTGGACCGCCTTGTGTTTTTAGCTTACCCTCAGAGAATTGTTTTCTTTTTTTTTTTCTTCAGTAACTATAATTTGGGGTTTCTAGTTGTTTTGGTGCACCAAAGACATTTTATAATGTGAAACACATGATATCATGCTTGTGAAAGACTCATACCCAAATGTGTACAAAGCTCAAAAAGATATGAGTCATACTATGGCCTTTGTTGTTTGAAGTCTTGTTTTTTTTTTTCCAGTGGGTAAATAAAAATGGAGTCCTTTTTGTTTGAGCTCCAGCTGCTTTGCGGTATTTCTGCCCTCAGGTCTCGACTTCTCAGGCAGACTGTGTTGATGACTTGTACAGAAGTGCTTACATCACAGCAGCTACAGCCTTCCTCACCTGGATAGCAGACACACACCTGCATCCACACCCTCCTGCACACCTTTTCTTTCAACCACACAGGTTGTTCAGAATCACTTCGCAGGTCAAGGTCTGCTGTAATTACAGACACTAGAAAGACAAGAGAAACATTTTTTCCCCTCCTGAACTGGCAATTACAGCGTTTGTTGCTGGTTCTATTTTGAGAAGAAAATAAATACGTCAAAAACACACATTAATATCAGGTCACAGATGGCTATCTAAGCAACGGCTGAGTGGGCTATCCTGATTGTGTGAGTTGGCAGAGGGTCCAGGTTGTGCAGCAGGGGACAGAGAGAACTTGGGTATTTCATTTAGTTCCAGCCCCTTGGTTGACATGTGTAAGTCATTAAAAAATGGAGATGTAGACAAAGCAGAAAATGAAAACAGTAAAGGGGCAAGAAAGAAAACGGCAAGAGCAAGAGTGGGAACATAATCCATTTTGGAATGCATTCCATGACCTTGGGATAGAAAATGGTAATTAGGGAGTACTTGGGGGGGAAAACGTTCAGACTCCACAAATCTGGTCCAAACTGGGACTGTCATTTTTTTTATGCCTCCTAAAAATGTGGGACAAATATATGCTAGAGTTCTATTGGTTGCAAAGTAGCCTAAAACCCACTAAAAATATGCCTGTGCCCTCCTCTGCAACTTTTTTTTTTTTGTTTATTGGCTCTTTCAGAGTTTGTTTATTTCAGTTCCTCAGCCTGAATGGGTGTCAAAGCCACAGCATAAACAGACAGAGCCCCTGACAGGAAAAGCCTGGCCTTGTCATTCCCTGTGCTATGAAGTCCATGTCACTGTGGACACATTACCCCGGAAAAAAAATCCTGGTGATGCATGGTTGCATTCACATAGCTACCATTCAGCTTAGGGTTGCACCGATCGATTAGCCCTGATATCCAAAATTTTGGGAGATCAACGATTGGCCAATGCTTACATGAGAAGCCAATCTTTACCCACTCATCTTATCTACCTCTGCAAAGGCCTTTGCTCTCTTGTGAACACTACCTCATGTCCAGTTAAATCAAGTTTGTATTGTTTCAAGGGTATTGTTTAATAGTTTTTCAATAAAATAAGATTGGAACATTGAAGTTGTACTGTGACCTTATAACACCTAAAATTGGTATTGTATTGGAATCTGCAGGTCAGACTTCTTAAAGATCGGTGACTGGCCAGAAAACTGCAATCGGTGCACCTCTAGTTCAGCATATTAGATTTGAATGGAAAGCAACAGGTTCTCAAAGCAAAATAACAAATGCATAAAACTGATCTGTTAGCTGAGGAGCCAAAGAAAAAAATGGCAACAGTCCAGCAGTGAGATTTACTGAGGCGTTTATGACACTTTAAGTGTTCCTCAGGCCTGCAGACAGACAGCTCAGAAGATCAATAATCTGTCCAGAGATGCTTTCAAAAAGACAGCGTTGGATTTTATGTATAGCTTCCGTGGCCAAACGTGCAAAACAGATGCAATGTCCTCTTGCAGAGATACAGTATCACCCCACTTTGACCAAAGGTGCACTGCAGCGTTTAACCGATAAAGTTAGTGTTAAAAGATCAATGTTCGACAGAATCCTAGAAAACATTCATGAAAATGGAAGTTGTTGCCACAGCGTGCCAATCACACACCAGATGTTTGAGCCAAAAGTGGCAGTTCACTTTGATTTCTGGTGTCTGACTGGGGGAAGGGGGCGACTTGATTGCTTTCACATGTGTGCAGGCGTAATGTTTATCTGTTTTGTAGTTGCTTTTTTTCTTGTATTTTAGCATTGAGTGATTTGCAACATGTCCAGCTAAATTTAGATATTTTTAAGTTGAATCAAAATTTTGTTGGCTGTGCTGTTCTCATTGAGGATGTATTCTTTTCTTCAAAAAACCRAATTTGTTTTGCCTGTTGAACTCTCAGATAGACATAATCACATTACTTTACAATGTTCTTACTGTTTAGTAAGATGTTAATTTCTTCTATACATTCAAGTAAATGTCATTTGATGTAACTGCTCTGTTTAGTTTTTTATTTAATACATTTATACACTCAAACAAGATTTGTATAAAGTGTTCATAATGTTTACAGGTAACTTACTGTTTAATACTTACATTTGTCCTAACATTCATTATCATCCAATTCATTATCATCCACCATATTTGATAAGGGTTTTAGATAAAGATCCTCACGTGCTGAGAAATGACAGTTTTATCCATCCATCCATCCATCCATCCATCCATCCATCCATCCATCCATCCATCCAACCATTTTTTTTCTCGGTCAGTTCTCCTTGTGAGGAGCTGGTGCCCATGTCCAACTGTCACTGTACAGAAAGGTGGGATTATTTCCTGGACAGGCTGCAAACCAACTATACACTCTCTCACTCACAGAGGTACCAGTTAACCTAACATACATGGTTTTGGTCAATGGGTGAACACCAGAATACTCAGAGAAAACCCACATGTGTACAGAGGGAACATGCAAACTCCACCCAGACAGGCATACATGGGTGGGATGAGCTTCTGCAACCTTCTCACTTAGAGGTGACAGCTTTAACCACWGTGCACAATTTAATGCGAGTATGCACTGTGAATAACACTACTACCACGTCAAAGTTTAGCTCATCATCTTAAAATTTGACTTAGATGTATTTTAATGTTTGCTTGGATCCATAAGCTGTGAAAGCCATTTTGAGTCTGAAACACTAAAAGGAAATCAGCTGTGCACATACACCCAATTATTACTGTTTGAAAWTTTCCTTAAAATCCATCCWCTGTTTTGTGAGATATTTTGCWAACAGAGAGGCAGAATTGACTTCAAATAGTTAAGAGCAAAATTGTAAAACAAAGAACTTGAGCATTTTACCAGTGCTCAGAATATTTAGTGGGGATCACTCTCTGCKACTCCCACACCAAATTTTAGGTCACCTTTTGTAGAATTGTCCGAATTACAGCCATTTGTTCATGTTTTCTAGGGGTCAGTTGAGGTGGACATCTTTGATTAGATTGGCTTCAAAAGTTWATCATTTGTAAATGTACACTCATTGATTACTTCCAATAGTCAACATGGAGGCTGTTTACTTGTTTAAATGTTTTGTCAGCTGTAAAGTTCATGCCCGCACTATCAGGCTGTGATTTAACCYCAATGAATCATCAGTTAAACTGCTTGAGCAGATTTCTTGAAGTGTGAGTCAAGTCAAAACAGATTTGCTTCTGAAGCGTTGTTCATCAGCATCACACTGCTTTCAGCATAATGGAATGTTTGATTCATTTATATTCAGCKCTGTTACTGAGCGTTGAAAGAAAGGCATTCGAAACAGGTTCCAGGCAATGGTCACGCATGTGTATACGTGGCCGACAGCATCAACACAGCCTAGTGAAGCTCTTACCTGTAGGGGTTGAGGTTTGGGTGGGGTGGGGGGGGCACGTGAGGGGGAGCCAGACACACCCTAATCCTCCCCAACATCCTGACCTTACCAAACCTGTAACAACTTGTTTCTCAGTCCCGCCAACATGTTCCCTCCCTTGACTGTTTCCCTGCCCCAACACCTCTGCCAACGTAGATCTCTGGGCCATGGGTGGGCTCTGGATTTGAGGACCTTATTCTGCCTTTGTGAGCTAATGCCGTGCTTCAAACCAGGAACAAAAGCCGTCAGTGCAAATTAAAGACCAATTATCTTTTGTGCGTGTCGGGGCAAGTTGGTCATGTTGGCTTGAGTGATGACTGGGGGGAGAAATGAGAGGTTGTGGTAGAAAAATGAGTTTGATTAATGTGTATGAATGACATGTGTAAAATTAAGTTTAGTGATGGATTCATTTGGATTTCTCTTTGTTTGTTTTTGCACAACATTGAAGTTTATTTGGATCGGTTGGAACCAAAGGCAAGAATTATGTCATGAATGAGGCCAGACCTACTTTTAGGAGAACTTCAATAGACTATTGCAAGTACAATATCACGGACTTGTGCCACTTACAAATCATTCAGTGTTTTTCATAATGGTCTGATCCACTGCCCATCGTGCCTTGACTTTTATACACATAATCCTGTTGTCATAAATTGTTAGGATCGGTTGTTTGAG